TTTATTCAATATAGATTATAAATAATACTTATTGAAAGTCACTCTTTTGTTTGATTACCACTGGTTCGTAAAAAACACCTCTATCCTTGGAAGAACCAGCAAGGAACCCAACGGGACTTTTTTTTAAATAACAGCTTACAATCAGAGGCGTAGCGTGGACTAATATATAAACGTGGGCGTAGTTGCAACAGCGACCCCCTTTTCCTAGTAAAGTGTTAGGAGGAGTGGTGTTGGGATTACTGGTGTCGGAGATAGCGACAGTGCACAAAATTAAAGAGAAGGTGGGAGATGCTCTTTAAACTAGTTAAGACACATCAATTTTATTTTCTTACGCGCATCTCAGCTAATTAAAAAGTAAAGTTACAGCCTATATAAGTCCCACTACTGGGCACAGGTCTCCTCTCATTTCTGAGTGGGTTTTAGGGCAAGGAAACGTCCACCGCGCTGCCTCAATTGTTGGCGGACTTCACAACACGTCTTGAATATATATATATATATATATATATATATATATATATATATATTATTAATTTCTTAGACTCACAGGTTTCCTCACGGTTTCCTTCACTGCCGATCACGTGGTAGCTAATTAATTTTGAATATCTTTTATTGTCGATTTTCATTCATAGTGTAGTATAAATAAAAATAATGGCCACAGAGTATTGTAATCTTAATGGTAGTGACACTGATGTAGAAAAACATTATGCAGAAGTGTTCTAATTAATATAAAGGACCAGAATAAACCAGAAAACGTGCACTGAATGCATAATGTGGCCCAGTCTCATCAACTTTACATGCACTAGGGATTGCACGGGTAATTCCATTAAGTTACAATAGAACACTAATTCTCACAATAAAACAGTGCTAGGACTTACAACGCTTTATTATTGTACTGCCTGGGCTTTCTGATCTCATGTTTGGTGCTAAGCTATAATATATGAGGCAAATTGATACGAAAGACAAACTTAGCATGATATCTGATGGTAAAACAACACATCTTATTTAATGACCACCGTGACTGTGTTACCGGCTCCATTGGCGCATTGTTTTAGTATTGCGTTGCGGCACTAAGGGAGAGCGGCGGGTTCGAATTTCGCACGGTTCAAGTTTTTGTATGGCCTACAAATAACTTTTCCGGGTCTGGATGTTTGTCCTTGTGCAATTTATGTATGTAAACTGCATGCACGATACAGGAGAAAATTATATTGTGGTTGCAGTAACCTTTTTAAAAAAAAGTAAGAATGCAAGAATATTTTCTGATTTTCAAATTTTAAACTGTTACACAACATATTTCTGAAAGACGCCTGTCACTAAGATGGGCTGCTCCAAAGAACAGAGTCGGTGGGAGAGATGGAACCTGCAGTGTCGCTGTGTAACTCCAGCGGGAAACGTTTTTATACGTGGTAGAACCATGCTGCAGCTATATTAGTAGTATTAGTAGACCAGGCTCTCACAGGATACCAGCGTAAAATAGCAACTTAACACTGCCGTGTTTCGTATGGTGAGTGTAGAGAACCGGAGACCCTTTTTACTGGAAAAGGGGCATTCCATCTTAGTCCTTAGGGTGTCAACGCATCTGCATTTTGATTCGCAAACGAGGATAGATGTAGATGTCTATGGGCCACAGCAACCACTTACCATCAGGTGGACTGTGTGCTCGTTCGTCACCTTGTCCTATAAAAAAATAAAAAAAAACGTGGGCTCTGTGTCGACGTTTTAAGTTTGAATTCAATAATAATAGCTTTCACAAAATGTACCTACTATCACAGAATAAATAATAGCTATCGTAATATTTATACAAATAATTATATTGAAGTGTCTGTTTGTAATGTCAAAATAACAACTTTTTACTGAATGCATATGAAAGTATAAACGTTACTTATAACAAAATTATCAATTTTTAAAAATGGTGTCTGTCAGTCTGTTTGTTCGATTTTGACGGGATTTCATTGGCTGATATTATAAGGAGTAACTTAGGATACTTTTATTTTGGATAAATAATTAGGATTTAAGAAAAATTAAAATCCACGAAATTCTGAACAAAATCCGAATCAAATAGAGAAGTACATAGATGGAGAAGTATAATAAATAAAAATTATTTTATGTGAACGAAGTCGCGTGCACAGCTAGTAATGAACAGAAAAAAACGAAGTCCCATATTGATTTTTTTTTTTTTTTTTTTGTTTTTTAAAAAAACGTTACCCCCACACTAGGATTTTCTCCTGTATCGTGGAGGCAGTTTACAAACACAAATTGCACAAGGACAAACATCCAGACCCGGAACAACTATATGTTGGTCTTACAAATACTTGTTCCGTGCGGGATTCGAACCCGCAGCCCCCAGCGCAACAACTCATTACTAAGCCACTGCGCCACGGAGCCGTCGACATACGATCTCCACCAGCACAACGCAATCGCACTGCTGGTTGCTCGCGTATCATGATCTCATCTCTACGCCGCCGTCATAATTTTAGTATTCAATAAGGGCTATTTTTACGTAACTGCCCCGAAGGAATGTAAGGTGTTTCGGGTCTACGCAAGTATATAAATTGTTCTTTTGTGATCGCTTGTATCCTAAACGAGCATGATGCCGTTTCGATCGTCCGTCTTTTTCTCCTATATGTCATGGGTCATGTTAAGCAACTTTTGAAAGAATTGGTAGGGTTTGTAGTGTACGTAAACATAATTGGCAGGATAGTGCATAATTCATAGAATCGGGCGTCACTGCGGAAATCCATTATATTAAAGACTAGCTGTTCCCCGCGACTTCGGAATTTCTTACAATGGATTTTGTGGGATTTAATTTTTTTTCACGGTATCCTAATTCTTTTTCTAAAATAAAAGTAGCCTAAATTACTCCTTATAACATCAGCTGTCTGCCAATGAAAGTACCTTCAAAATTTGACTAGTCAAACAGACAGACAAAAAATTAAAAGACTGTTTTTTTGTTATAAGTACCGTATATATAATTTCATATGCATTTAGCTTTAAGCTGGTATTTTGACATTACAAACACACTACAATTTTATTTATTTTTATAGATATAGATGTACAGAGATGTTAAGAAGACTTGTGTATTAAAAAAAATATGTTTCTGAAGAGCAACTCTTCAAATTAGGCAAGACACATCATTTTATTTTATTACGCTGATCTTAGATACCTAATTATATTTGAACATCTTTAATATTGCGTTTATAATTGTTAATTTCTAGTGACTGGATTCTGGCACAATATAGAACCCTGTCTCGATTAACATCGATTACTTCTTTAATTGTATTATATAAAGAGACGAAGGAAAAAGCAACGAAGTGCGTCTCACTTTGCGAAGACAATTATTATTAACTTAACATTCAATGATAACTATGATATCATTTGTTTCGCCTTAAATAATCAAACATAAAAAGTTAAAGGACTTGGTGGTCTTGTCTTAATTACCTATATTTATTTATAGAAATAAGGTTGAGTAAAATCTTTTGTATTATTTTTAAATAATTATGTGTATTTTAAATAAATATTTTAAATAAATGGCGACAGGTCACAGCCACAACGTGCGATCCCCGAATGCCAATAAGGCTGAAGGGGAAAATTTACAAATCGATCATCCGACCTGTCGTCATGTATGGAAGTGAATGCTGGGCCGTCAAGAAGAAGGATGAAAATAGACTGCATGCGAATGAAATGAGAATGTTACGATGGATGTGTGGTGTGACAAGGATGGATAAGATAAGGAATGAGTATATAAGAGGAAGCCTGAAAGTAGAGCCAGTGGTAGAAAAGGTGAGAGGAAGCAGATTGGCATGGTTTGGGCATGTGATGCGGAGGAATGAAAGTCATGTCACAAAACGAGTGTTGAATATGAATGTGGAGGGACACACGGGCAGAGGAAGGCCGAATAAAAGATGGATCGATTGTGTGAAGAGTGATATGAGAATGAAAGGAGTAAGTATGGAAATGACGGCTGATAGAGAGGAATGGAACAAAAAGATTTACTGCGCCGACCCCAGATAATGGGAAATGGTTTAGAGAATGATGATGATATGTGTATTTTGCTAAATAATTTAAATGCAATAGTGCATGAGTACGCCGCCATATAAGTCCTAAAATGTTGTAATATTATTGAATCGCATAAATTTTTCTGTCTCTTTACTAAGAAACAAGAAACGTTCTCAAAACCTTGTCTTCTGACAAGATATAACAGATTACCACAAGACTAGATAATAGTACAACAATGTCCTTGTGACCGAATTTCACGTAACGGCAGCCAATCTGAACGGAGATGATGCATCTGCACAGGACAGGATTATAGTGCACGAGCGTGTGCACAAGCTCAGGTGCACTCTCTATTCTCTAACTCTTATAGTCCGACAAGACGATATTCCGCCACGATTGGGGAGAGATCGAGCGTGATCGAGAGGTTTTACATGCTTTATTTTATTTATTATTTTTATTTAAAACTTCATATACACATGTGGTATATAGGCGGACTTAATGCCTAAGGCATTCTCTACCAGTCTACCTTGCTTTAACCGTCTCGCTTTCTTTATTGGTCTGAGATTGAATGGTAATTTTAGACCAAATTATTATGAAGAATAATTTACTTTTACTGGACTTGGTAAAAGTACAATCATAAGAGTCCATTACAAAAAAAAGATATGTAATGCAAATGAAAGCAAGTGCATGTGAGGACTACGAGAAAAGGTGTTTTGCTGTACAGTTTAAATCCTTTTTGGTAATCTTAAATGACATAAAAAATTTACTCAAAAATGTTCTACCAAAATGGGTGTAAGAGAAAAGCCAATATTTGATTTTTACAGCAGCAGTTTTGCTTACAACCACAAAACCAACAAGAAAGATATCAACAGATCATACTGGTCACAGTAATAGAACCAAATTTAGTCATGAATTGCTGCTTGCACAAAAAAATCTATGCTCACAGTAGGTCATGTCATGGTCATCAAAACTGTGTTGCTGTATTTCTCTAATCAACATATTATACATACTTGGGAGCTGGCTCGCCTTCTGCTTCACATTCAATTATGAAGGGTTTGTCTACTTCTCCGGGTTGTGCTACTTGGAACAACAGCTCCTCAACTGTAGGCTGCTTCACAATCCGAGGCGGTGATGTCACTGTTCAACAAATATAAAAACATCTCAATAAGTATTGAAAACTGACGGAATAAGTCATAACTACATATTATGTAAAAGCATCATTCCACTATGGTACATTGGAACCATTCCATATCACAGATTTAGAACAGATTTGAATTAGATTAATGCAATTAAAATGTGACATTGTTTGATAGATATTATATACATATATAATCAATGTGGTACCTCTGGTATAACAAAATTCAATGTGGTCAAGTTCTTTGAAAAAATTTAATAATAAAAACGAACCTAGAACTTGTTTCCAATTTTGCAAAACTTTCTGAGTGATATAGTTTTTTCAGTCATTTTTGTATTTTTGCACCCAATAGGTCATCCAAAAGGATATAATTAAAAATACTAAAATATTTCACATTTGCCAGCAATAAGAACCTTGTTACGTAAATTCCCAATGAAATAATATTGATTTTCAGCAAATCAATTCAGTAAGTCAATGTCTGTTTGTTAGAGTTCTTTTTTTTTTCAACTAAAATTAATAATTATGTGGACTAAAATAACAGATTTTATGATTATCTCATCGATTTGTTGTGTATAACCTAATTAAAAGTTACAGATAATTTAAAAAAAGAGTTTTAATAAAAAATATAGATAATTTATTTAATTAGATCATTAGCCTTAGGTGTAACCCAAAGACAAACCAAACATAATATGCAAAATTTTATAAGTAATATTATCAAAATTAGTTAAAGTAAGCATAAAAATTATTAAATCTATTCCATGGAAATCATTATTCAAACTAATTGCTCATTACAACACAAACTTGAAACCAGAGGTCTGATGTTGAATTAGCACTTTTAGCTTCATTATCACCATTACAGCCCTTCACAAGTCCACTGCTGAATATAGGCCTCCTCCAAGGAATGCCACAAAACACGGACCAGAGCCACCTGCATCCATCGACTTCCTGCATGTCTTACCAGGTCACATTACATTTTAGCTTACTTACTTATATTATATGAGTAAAAACTAACAAATAGAAATAACAGATAAAGGAATTGGAAGACAAAAATAAATCATAGCAAGACTAGGACAAAACAATTCACCAATTGAATGAGTTTTTAATAAATTAAATATCTCACTAATCAACTATTAAAGGAAATTGATTTAACATTTTCAAATATTAGTACAAAGTAGTAGTACCAGGATTAATAGTAATATTAAGCAAATCAGTTGATAATGTCAAAATTATTACTCAAAAATAGAACTTTGAGTTAAACAAAGCAAGAAATATTTTCTTGCCTTACTTTATTAAAGTAGAATTCATGATTTTCTCCTTAATGTAACAAAAGATAAGTAATTTTTTTAAAACAAAATTTTAACACAATTTGTGTATTGCTAGCCAGACAGACTTATATGAGTCTAGTTTCTGTGATGTTAATACTGTTAGCCCATGGGGCTCTTACAGCTTCATCAGACTCAAAAGAGACTTATATGAACTACTACATTTCCATAGTTTATAAGATCATTGAATTTAGTGTGTATAGCATTTCAGTGCTATATTATGGTTCTAGTCTCTCTAAGTCTAGTAACCATTGTATGTTGGCTCAAACAGTGACCGATTATTCTCACAGAATACCTGTGATACAATTCTAATTTGTTTCCAATGGAGAGTGAGGAATGATATTATATAATGTGTGATAAAAGAAAAGTGTGGTTTGCAAGATGATGTTGTGCCAGGATTAAGAAAGGAATTCTTCAGTGGTTTAGCCATGAATGGGTAGGCTTGACTGGGGAAGGACCATGTTCTCACAGAATACCAGCGTAAAATGGCAGCTTAACGCTGCTGTGTTTCGTATGGTGAGTGTAGATAACCGGAGACCCTTTATACTGGAAACGAAGCATTCCATCTTAGTCCTCACGGGTGACAACACATCTGCATTTTGATTAGTGATCGTGGAGAGATGTAGATGTCTATGGACCACCACTTACCATCAGGTGGACTGTGTGCTCGTTTGTTACCCTTATCCTATAAAAAAAAGCAAATTTATATTTTTGCAGAAGTGAATGGCCGTAGGCAAGAGATGCCCTAAATGAAAGTTTATTGACCAAATTGGCAATATATTGAAGATGGAACAGATTAAGAGTACACTTAACTGACAAGCATGTATACGTAGACATGGATGTAACGAGAGTTGTGTCAGGATTGTGCCAAATGGAAGTCCACAGTCTCTGCCTACCCCTCTGGGTGAGAGGTGATTGTTTATGTTATGAGGAATGACTGATATTATTACGCCAAATATTGATATAGGTAAAATAAACTAAAAAATTACAAACATTTCATGACTGATTTAGTGAATAATTTGAATCAAATTTAAATGTTCTATCATACTTAAATTTATTAAATGGTTTTAGGATTATTACAATTAACGAAACATGAAATTTATTTTATTTTTTATTACGTGAATAAATGTCATATTGGACAATTGATTTACAATGTTTATGATGACAGCAAGAAAAGATGAATGAACCTATAAGAGTTAAGACGCCAATAATTCAAAATAATAGAGCTACATACGACTGATACTAAAATAATAAAACGAAATACTCACGTAGAGCCGCCGTCTGAGACACTATCACGAACATACATATTAATTTATAAGTATCCATGTCTGCAACAATCCACAGCTTCGTAATCTAGTAAGAAACGAAACAAGCTAGTTTAGATTTAGACCAAAACACATTTCTCCGGCACACATGTCCAACGCACTTGATGACCTAATCCGAATAAAGCTCTTACAATGACAACACCCACTAAAAATAGTAGCATCAATATCACAAATTACAGCTTATATATCACACAAAATCTTTAAAAATCATTTATAAGAAATAGTAAGCTTTTTATTTTCTTTTATTACAATATTTATGCGTAAACCGTAAACGAGTTTGAAATAATCAGTTTCAAGACACCGATGGTAGATCGATATTTACGTTTTATTTTAAGCCTTAGAACTTTAATTGAATGGTAAATGTGGTATAATTTTATATATTACCTAATTGTGTTTTATAAAATTATCATCGCGGTGAAACTGAGTTAACCGTATTTACAGATTTAAAGGCGGGGCCTCTCAGAATCTCGTTTCAATAGTGATTTAGTGATCAATTCAATCACTAACATAGAGCATAGACAAACTGAAAACTGACAAATAGATTATTGTTTGGCTTTCATGTTTCATGCCGCCATGCCTACTTTCGTCTCACTTACTCTTATATTAATTACAATATACCATTTCTGTTTGATGACACAGATGATAAAATTACTTTCTCAATCTCTCTCATCTATGGTCTGTGTCCATCTTCTAGTAATTTAGCTTGCTCTAGATATTTATTAGATTAATATCTGTCTTTAAATACTTTATAGCATCTACGTACTCACCATGGAGTACTCCATGGTATTCACTTACACCCGTATTTATAAGAGTTTTTGGCGGGAACTTGACCGGTGGCGGTTTGCTGCTCCTGTATTATTGTTTAAATAATGGTTTGAAGTGGACTTTGATATGTAAAAGTGGTGCGATTTTGTGTATTAAGTGTCTGCGCGTGTGAACTATTAGTGTAAACTGTGATACAAGTGCTCTGATGGTGATGTGATTCTCAAAATAAGGTGTCTGTCTGCTTAGGCACCTTGAGTTATCATCGCCAACCGTCAGCTGTCTGCTGGCTCAAGTTGCCCTCAAAATCTCCCAAGGGCTGCACAATGTGACGCATCAACATTTTGTGAAGCAGTATACTATGAAGGATAAATATTATAACATATTGTAACTACAGGCTTAGAAGGGCTAGATTCCAGAGCCGTAAAGCCAGTTATTAAGAAGAAGCCGTATTTATAAAGAAGAAATTACTCATTGCTAAGTAATTCCTTCATTAAGTCATTACTTAAGGTTAGAATTCTTAATAACAAAATCTCATTCTATAGTTCAGTAACACACTTTACTTATGCAAGTAACACTCAACTCGACGCTTAGTGGTTGTTTCTGTGTGGCAACACTTCGTGATTGCGTTTATTTTCATGCAAAAGCAAACGTAAGCTAGATTATTTTTACAAAATCTTGCAATAAGAGCCGTGGTAGCTCAGATGGTTAGCGCTCGCTGTAAGCTTCACAGTACTCGAGCAACCCGGGTTCGATCCTCGCCGGCACCAATGAAATTGTTAATTGCAATTTTAAGTGCTGATTTACCACGTGCTCGGCGGAGAAGGAAAACATCGTGAGGAAACCGGCATGTCTGAGAAATAAGAAAAAAAATATTTCAAAGACATGTGAAATTCGCCAACATGCATTGGGGCAGCTCGGCGGACATTTCCTTGCCCTAAAACCATCTCAGAAATGAGAGGAGGCCTGTGCCCAGCAGTGGGACGTAAATAGGCTACAACTTTACTTTTACTTGCAATAATATCTTTGATATTACTTTATTTGATATGTATAATAGCAATAATGTTATATAAATGATTTAATGTTATAAAGTTTATAATATCATTATTGTTGTTTAATTGTGTCAGTACAAAAAAGTATGCTTGGAGAAACAAAACTTTTGACATGTTATAACCCTTGTAAATTTAAATGTTCAGTTTTACACATGGATTATGTGCCGACACGTGCTTTTTTTCTTATAAAGATTATACATACAACTTGTAACAAAAACCCTGTGGTTCCCTTTAAGTGCGTTATAAGAGTCAGTATACAAACGTAAAGAAATAATTTTTTTTTTCAAAAATCTTGAAAATTAAGAAATTTAATTTTAATTCAAAAAAATTATTTGCAAATTGTATGTGGTTTTATTAACTCTGACACGAGCATCGGTGAAGGGGGTTCTTTCACAATCCTCTTATTGTCCGGATAATGCAGAGGTAATAAAACCACATACAATTCGCAAATTATTTTTTTTAATTAAAATATTTTTTTTAATGTTCAAGTTTTTTGAAGAAAAAAAATATTTCTTTACGTTTGAATACTGATCCTGATAACGCACTTAACGGGAACCACAGGGTTTTTGTTACAAGTTGTATAATCGTTGCTTCAATGCTACCCAAAGTTTCCATTTTTTATGCAAAATAACCTTAAAGTAGTGCTTAAGTAAATGAAATGGTGACTATTACTTGGCTGAGAATTCTAACTTTTGACAGTTCTAACTTGGAGCAATTACTTAACTATAGAATATAAATCATTACTCAAGTAGGTAATTACTTTTACTCAAGTAATTACTTTTACTTGTATATAAATACAGGTGTTATTATACGATACTTGGTTCAATATCGTTAGAGAACCTCCCCTCCCCCTCCCCCCAGTCTATGAATTTGGAGTATATATATAAAAAATATACTGGCAGACGTATTTTAAATAGAACATCTCAAAAATATTAATTATTTAAACTGCACCCATGTACTTTAGAAATAAAAAATAGTTAAAGATCGTTCATCTTATAACGTCGATATTACTTCAAATAACTAGAACTGGGTATTTTTTTACAGTATAAAAAAACTGCACCTTGTTTGAGTATAATTGCACCATTGTTAAAAATGCATTAAATGCAACGATAAGCTTAAACATTTACTAAAACCAAATTTGTTAAATGTCGATTGGGTGCATTCGACAGTTAAGAAATTTGGTTTTATCAAGTTTTTGTGTTTGTTAAAAAATATTTTTTAATAATTCTATTAATATAAAAATTAAACATAATAAGGGTACTCGGCGATCACTCGCGGCAAGTTGGTCAAGACAGCAGCGCGGTACACTTACGGCAGACGCGCAGCTACTGCAGTTATTGTGTTTGGTTTATTCGTTAAGACAATATTTTATTCTTTTGTATCTATGCCGCCGTGTTTGGCAATATAGATCGGCTGATTGGGAAAGGATGCGGTCTTTTTTTGCATTCTATCAACGCGTAGTGTTTCTATATAGTTTGTGATTCTATCCTTGAGGGCGGATTTGCTTCTCGCCGGAAAATCCCAGCAATGTGACTGATTCTGCCGTGGATGGGGTACTTCAGGATATAGAACTTTTTATTCCATCTTCTGTAGTGCCCATCGAAGGCAGATTCCAGCCACGATTTGGTCACTCATGTAAAATAGCAGTAGGGTAATATTGGGGCTGCTGGATCACTCACGTCCGTTCGCGATGCAGTTCGCCTCAATATTATTGGGGTTTCTGCATCACTCGTCCGCTCGCAATGCAGTTCGCCGCAATATTACACTAAACAGCTCTACATTCCCAGACACGATGCGCGACGGTGTGGGATTCAATAATCTGATTCTCGCTGAGATAGCTGGTTACTCAAAAACACTTATGGCCGCAGCGCTTATGTTATTGTATTTGATCTCGATCGATATTATTGACGATTGCATTGATGAGTTTTTAGTAGACCAATACTTTAATAGGTAGACTAACATAACGATGTTGAATTTTTTAATATGATTCAGGGAGACTTTACCATGGTAGATCAATTGAGACTCCAGCCCTAGGGCTTGCTTGCGCAGATATATAAAAATACCTAGCAAATAACATATTTTTCCCATATGAAAATAGCATTGTGTTCAGTCTTCATGATTTTTGAATTAATTATGAATGAACAAGAACCTTTCCAAGGGTTTTTTAAAGCAAGTATTTATGCATGCTATTAATTAAGATATTAAATAACATAATTATTTAAACTTACCTTATCTATATAGGGTAACTATTATAGTATTTAGTGTGCTAGCATTTAGGTATTACATATTATTAATTATAGGACGATAGGGAGATTTCTTTTATATTAGTCAATTGGTTGTCTAGAAGCGATTGCTACTTGCAGTCGTTTTTAATATCCTATCTATTCTTGGACTTGCGTACTAGAGATGGATATTTGACACATTTTATATATCTGAGCTTAACTTATCTCAAATATTTTATTTCCTGCAGCCAAATCCAGCGATAGAAAGGTTTATTTCGATAGGTACAATTATACAATACTTTCGTTTTACAATAGAAGTGGTTCACAATAAAGGAATTTTGCAATGTAGGTAGGTAGGTACCTAAATATAAGTATGTTATTACATACCAACCAGACTGAAAGGCGTAAAATACTTATGTAACTTATTTAAACAGTAAATGCATATAAAAAATATTTTACCTAAATCAAGCATCGATGAGCATAGAAAATCATTTCAAACTTTCAAGAAGTCAAAAAATGGATTTAAAGTTAACCTGTAGGAGCCTGTTGCGTACTAGATAGCTCAAATGTATTTGGTTATGAAGTTCAAACTACTAATACCATCATAAATTGAGCCGTCATGTTTTTATTTCTTTCAAAATCAAACTTTTAATGAATAATGTTTTATCTGGATATCTAATCAGAATAAAAGTAATACTCGTAGTAGCTAAAGAAATGTAAAAACACCTTAAAAGAAAATCAGAAGTTAGATAGCTCAAAGTTTATCGGTTTTTATAACACAAAACCAGAAACACCAATATAATAAGAACCCTCTTATGAATGCAGCTTCCTTAAACAAATTTTGATCTCAAATATCTGCGACAGAGTGGCGTCTGCAGTGTAAGCTAAGGTGTAGGCACATTGATAAGTTTTTAGTTAATGGATTTTAGACTTTATACAGAGCATTCATAGGAATGGTAATAAAT